ACAGAATGGTATGAAAGGAAACTCCGCTTACATTTTAGGAAAGTATTCCAAAGTTGTTAGACAATTCTGGGGTGGTTGGCAGGGTGTTTGGGAGGAGGCATCTAATCTATCATAATGGGATGTAGGAATAACCTTGAGGGACAGGAGGAAGAGCCACAACCAAGACAACAGTCAGATAAAAGAAATCTGAGCCCAGGGCAGAAATGTAATTTGAGAAAGCATCTCAGACATGACCCTCCCTAGTTCTCATGAAGTTAAAGGGAGGAAGAGGAGAAGCGCATTCAGACTTGCAAGATTGATGTCAGCCGGCCAAGGTAGACCACACTTGGAAACCAAAGACACACAAGCTAATACTACTTTTATTATAAGGTTATAGTAACAGAATCTTGCAAGTCTGAATGTGCTTCCCCCTTCTCTCCCTTTATCATCAAGAGAACTAGGGAGGGTCAAGCCTGAGGTGCCTTCTCAAATTACATTTCTGCCCCGGGCTCAGATTTCTGTTATCTGACCGTTGTCTTGGTTGCGGCTCTTCCTCCTGTTCCTCAAGGCTCTTCCTTCTTCCCATTGCATCTGTGGCCTCCTCAAACCTTGTTCCTACCTGGTTGATGAATCATCACTGTTCCCCACCTCTACCTAATTTAAACATGGCTGCTACAAACTGAATCTCTTTTAAAGTCAATGTCTTTGACCTGGTTCAAGTTGGGCAAAACATTCCCCCAAAGGCAGCGTGTCTTCAGCTGATGATGAGAACGCATGGGCAAGCTCTGTTCCCCTTGACTTAAATTGTGATTACTGGTTCTTCAATGGACTGAGCAACAATGCATTCTTATATTTGTTTTGCATTCCCAATCCTTGGGAGATACAGTCAGTGTCACTTGTTGAATTTTGGATGTGCTGTCTCTCTCTTGACTGTTTTACCTGTGTAGGTGGCAGTGGTGAAGCAGAAGAGGACCTCTCAGGTGTATGCTATGAAAATAATGAATAAATGGGACATGTTGAAACGAGGAGAGGTAAGTGTAGCAACAGAACATCTGCCAAGCCATTATGGCTGTCTAGTTGGGATTTCCATTTCAATCTGTGCCCAGTCTGTTCCAGTTTTGCATAAGTCTCTTCAGTCAGATTCCTTTATCATTTTGCCGCTAAAGAAACCAAGAAAAATTGCATTTATTTTTCACTGCAGCTTTTCTTAAGACATGCTGTTTGGTGTCCAACATTTCCTGAAAAAAAGACTGTACATTCATTGAAGTCTAATGTAGATGCTGCCTTTTGAACCAAAACTGACCTTCAAGAAGACAAGTAATGCGATTTCTCAGGAAGAGAACAAGAAAAATGGGCTAGCATATCTTATGGTCAAAACCTGAGCAAGCCCCAAGTTTTAAATCAGTTTCTGAAAGCAGTAGCAAATGAAACTGGGCAGGGAGGAGTGTGTACTAAGAATAGGGTGTCACCACAGAAAAGACTTTTTACCTTGCTGTGAACCCATCTCAACTTTTGAAGATCTTTTGAAGATCATTCAGCATCTTCCGTGTAGGGACAGGGGTAGATAGAAGTAGGAGGCCTGATAGACCATGCCCAATGCGTTGAGGTTTGCCAGGAGACACAGCTCCTCTGGGGAAGATCACCATGTGGTTGACGATCCATCATTTCAGTCCCTCAGATGTTTCAGCCAGCAGGGCTGCTGCGGAGGATTTAGGCTGGCTTACATTCACATTCACATTGTGCTTTTAGCAGCAGGACACATCGCCTGATTTTCTCTTCTACCAAGCATCAGCCCAGCAAAGGAAGATCTTATATTTCCCATGTTGCTGGCAGGAAAGTTTGTCTGATAGTTGCCCAGGACCAGCTAGAGACTGTAGTTGGATTCTTATCCGCTTGTGCCTATTACCGTACAGAGCAGAACGTTTGATCAGAGATGTCCACCTGTCTGAGATCTCAATTCTACTTGCTTCAGGTTTCCTGCTTCAGGGAGGAGAGGGACGTCCTGGTGAACGGAGACAAGCGCTGGATTACGCAGTTGCATTTTGCTTTCCAAGATGAGAATTACTTGGTGAGTCCTGCTGTTGTAGCAGATGTGTTGACATTTTAATTAAAACATAAGCAACCCAGGGCTGGGTCAACTGATGAGAGCCAGATTCAGGTGAAGCTCAGAGGCAGACAAGATAGTGTGGACAATGTTCGGCCCAGATTCTTGTTTGCATTTGGGATACTAGAACAAAAGGATTTGGGCAAGTGTGGAGTACCTGTCCTTCATCACTGGATGATGGAAACAGATGAAACCGCGCCAGAGGGTCATAAAATCATAGCGTTGGAAGGGGCCTTGGGGGTCTCCTAGCCCACCCCCTGCCCAGGGCTGGAATCCTCAGACCATCCTAGACAAAGGGCTCTCCAACCTTTGCTTGAAAACCTCTAGTGATGGAGTCCCTGTGACTCCAGGGGACAGGCTGTTCCACTGCTTCATAGCTCTTGTGTTCAAGGAATTCCTCCTCCTCTTGAGTTTGAATCTTTCTATGTGAAGCTTCCCTCCCACCCCCACCCCCTTCGGTTGGTTTTTGTCTGACCCTTGGGCAGTACAGTGGAGAAGTAAACAAACTTGCCTAAGATCAGAATCATCCCTCCTTCTTCTCTTCTCTTCTCTTCTCTTCTCTTCTCTTCTCTTCTCTTCTCTTCTCTTCTCTTCTCTTCTCTCCTTCTGCCTTCCTTTAGTACCTGGTGATGGACTACTATGTTGGTGGTGACCTCCTGACCCTGCTGAGCAAATTTGGTGACCGCATCCCGCTAGAGATGGCCCGGTTCTACTTGGCTGAGATGGTGATGGCCATCAACTCGATACACAGCTTGGGTTATGTGCACAGGTAAGCTGGTGCATAGACTGGGGGGAGGGCTCTGAAGAAGCAGAGGGTGGTACATGAGAAAGGGATATTTAAAATTCTCATGACGCTGGACCTCTTTCTTCACACACAGTCCTGAGCCTTGCTTTCCACCTTCTTGGATGCATTTACTTTATTTATTTTCTTACTTACTGCTTCCGAGTGCAGAAGACACGGAAGGGATGTTGGGCAGCAAGTAATCCCTGAGACCATTTTTTGTACTCCAGTCTAGACAAGTTGTTCAACTGAGCCTAACACTGAAGTTTCAGAGCATTCTTGGTTCCAGATCCTTTCTCCTGTTTCCACTGCCAGCATTTCTTTAAAAAAGGATATTTTCTCCTCATTCTAACCTGTGGAATGTCTGGGCTACTCCCTTGAACAAATCTAGTCTTTTCCTTCCCTGAAGTGCAAGCCAGGTCCTCTCAAAGCCCTCAACCTAGTTCCTGCATGCTTCAAAGGCAGGATGCATCATCAAGGTTGGACAAGATTATGAAATGATTGCGTTGGGGAAACATGGGAGTGAGGACTGGCTGGTCTAGGGGCCTGGCTGGGCCTCTGTGCACACAGCTTGCCTTTCTGAGTTAAAAGCAGCTGTAAACCTTGCCCTAGATGCATAACTACCTAATTCATCTCTGGCTGAGTAAGACGGTTGGGCTTCTGTCCAAGCATGTGAACCGCCAAAGCTTGAAAATGCGACAGAGGAGACGGTGGTGGGTGGGCAGGAGATGAGATGGGTTGGAGGAGGAGATGGTGATTCAGCTGAGCTGACAAACCTGGGGTGCCTGCAGGGAAGGGGTTAAAAACGTCCAGATGGAGCCACAGCCATGCAATTAAAGCCCCAACATTTTTTATGCGCATGTAAGACACATGTAAAAAAGGGCAGGGCTACTGGAGTGTGATCACCAAGTAAAAAAGCATGTTCCATGGTCATAGGATCTGGCTGTATTCCAACAGGTTCAGTAAGAGACTCCCCTTCCCCACCAGCTCAAGGTAGGGTGGCCTGAACAGGTTTGTAGAATACATTGCAGCAGTAGCTATTAACAAAGAGGTTTCTGGCCAGAGACAGATATACAATCCAAAGGAGTGGGTTAATCAACAATGATAAAAGCGCACTCTTTGCTAGTGGAATTGGGGCCCTGGATGTCCTAAAGGGATAGAGCAGGACTGAAATTTTCCTCTAGAGGTTCATGTTCCAGCGGCTGATGTAGAACAGCAGAAGTTTGAGAAGGGGATGATGAGGCTGACTGGGCCTGAGTGTACAGTTGGTGCCTGAAAATATGGATTTTGGGCAGTGAGTTCTCCAAAGCCCAGGTTTTTTACATTGACAGCAGTGTTGAAAATATCTTCTGTGTGATTTCCTGAACGATGACAAAATAGCACTGTCCAGCCAGGGAGGCCAGAAGGTGAGCTCCCTTCCTCCCCTGTTGTTCCAGGCACTTAGGTTGTATTGCTGCAGGGTGGCTGTTGCCTTTGGACTAGCGAGAGGACTGTTTTCAAAAGTGCTTGCCATCCTGTGTGCGCAGAAGCGCCTGGGCTCAGCTCACTGCCTCTCTAATAGTGCAATCTTGGAAGAAGAGTGCCTGGAAAAGGCGGGCCCTCCTCTGCCTTCAGGGGTCTTGGACAGCTGTTGCCAGCCAGAATGGGTAATGCTGGCTTGGCAGCCTTCCCAACTGGGCGCCCTCCAGAATGTGTTGGACTTCCCAGAAATGTGTTGGATTTCCCAGAAATCTCAGCCAACTCTCTGGGAGTTGTAGTCCAACCTACCTGGACAGGACCAGGTGGGGTTTGGAGGTGCCCAAGTAGCTTATTTCCTAAGTTCATGTGCCCATCATCTCCATTCTCTGCTTGACAGAGACATCAAACCAGACAACATCCTGCTTGATCGATGTGGGCACATCCGGCTCGGGGATTTTGGATCCTGCCTCAAGCTTCAAGAAGATGGGACGGTGAGGCTTCCAACAGAGCTGGGTGGGCAAGTTAGAGCTCAGCTCTAGGAATGCGGACTTTATGAAGAGCATAACCATCATAGCTTTATGATGGTCAAGGGGTGTGGTTTGACCAAAGAGCTTTCCGACTTCCCATCAAACATAAACGCAAACCATGATTACCAATGGAGGGTCTATGTTTCAAGGCAGTCTGGCGGTGACAGCTCCCACCTCTGCCCCCTGCTTGTGGGCTTTCCAAAGACCCCGCCTGGGCCATATCAGAAGCAGGATTTGGTGGATTGGGGTCTGGTTCTGAGGTTCTCACCCCCATTCTCACGGTGGCAGGTCTGTTCCACAGTGGCAGTGGGCACTCCAGATTACCTCTCCCCTGAGATCTTGCGAGCAGTGGAAGATGGGGCTCATTCCTATGGCACAGAATGCGACTGGTGGTCTCTGGGCATTTTTGCCTACGAGATGTTCTTTGGGCACACCCCCTTCTTTGCCGACTCTGTTGTGGAAACCTACGGCAAGATTATGCACTTCAAGGTCGGTGGCAGAAGGGCAACCAGCTGGGTTTGTAGGGGTGGGTTCACGTGCCCCATTTCTGGACAGTCACGTGAGGTTGCTGTTAATACCCTGCTCAGCTTTCACGCGTGCGACGCTCCCTCCTTTGACTTTTTGCATTTACACCTTTGCCCTGACATTCATTTTCCAAGGAGCATTTCCAGTTCCCCCTCTCGGCACCAGAGATCCCCCCGGAAGCCCAGGCCTTAATCGAAGGGCTGATCTGTCCGCGAGAGACACGGCTGGGACGTAACGGGGTCCGGGACTTCCAGGAGCACCCCTTCTTCATCGGCATCGACTGGGAGGGCTTGCGGGACTGTACCCCGTCCTTCGTGCCCGAGTTTGCCAATGCCACCGACACGTGTAACTTCGACGTGGTGGATGACTGTCTCACCGACATGGTGAGAGGGGGAGGGGTACGTGATCTCTTATTTTTCTCCCCTTTCCTTTCCACTCCACCTGGGGCCAGTCCGTGCTGAATTGCAGGCTTGCTGGTTCCCCGCTGGGTTTGGTTTTCTTTTTTAAAATTTGGAACGTTTGCCTTAAGGAAGCTCTTTAGCCACCCATTTGAACGTTCAGAAATTAAGGAATTAAGGTCTGCTGTAAGGGGGGGGGGTTGTGTCCTATGCTTCTTGTCAGGCCTGTGGGGCTGCCTTTTGCTCTAATGCAGTGTTTCTCAACTTCGGCAAATTTACAATGTGTGGACTTCAACTCCCAGAATTCCCCCACTCCAAAAATCGTACCTCTAAATATCACCGTTTTGCAGTTGTATTTTATCAGCGTGATCCCAGAGCCGGGAATAGGGAGGAAGCCAGTACAGTCATAGGTACAGAAACTTAAGCAAGCAGTGCGGCCAGATTATTAGATGCAAAAAGTTGGAAAAGAAATGAAATGTCTACAGTGAAGGACTGGATTGTTAAATTCACTGAACTTGCAGAAATGGCAAAACTGACCGTTTGGTCAGAGGAAAAAAGAGTCAGGACTTTATTAAAAAAACTGGAAACTTTATATGGACTTTTTTTGCTGAAAGAACAGAAAAACAAATGGATGATTTGGGGATTAAAAATGAGACGAGGAGGTTGGAGAAAAATCGAAGGTGATAATTACTCGATAGAAAGAAGGGTGGGAGGCCCAATTGTATTCTGTTGTTTTTTCAATTTCTTTCTATCTTTGTTTTGTGTATTTTATTATATTGAAAAATTCTCATTAAAGAAGAAAGAAACTTAAGCAAGCAGGATGATTTTAACGGCTTGATATCCAGAAAAATCCCTCCCCCCCGCACAAAAAAACCACCTCCTATCAGAGAAGCTGCCTTTAGTTCTGGCTTTCTCCACTAAAAGCTCAGGGGGCTTTCTGGACAGACCCCAACATTCTGGCAGCATCGCGCACGGCTCCGTCCTGCTCCGACGGGCACCGTCCCTCCATTTCTGCGTGTTTGTGTCCCCCTCTTCCAGGAGACACTGTCGGATGTGATTGAGACCTCTCCACTCGGGGTGCACCTGCCCTTTGTGGGATACTCCTACACTTACACGGCTGTGAAGTAAGAAGTGTTTTTGGTCCCCCTTTGTACTTTGGGAGGGATGCGCAGCTTCGGCATCAAGGGCTGGGCTGGAATCTGTAACCTCAAGGTTTCTTTCTGGTCCTTTGGTGGACTGCGTTCTCCTTGATATTGCCAGATCCCAAGGGTCCTTCTCGGCAGGTTCTTCACCTGCAGAACCCGCCCTTCCAGGTGCTCCCAGGGGTAGGTCATGGGTGGGTTAGGAGGTGCAGCTCTGCTGGTTCCACAGATACAACAAGGAGGGCTATATTGTCAGTACGTGGGCTGTTACCGCAATCCCTTGGAGCTTTATGGAGTTACGAGGGCAAGTCCTCACCTCCAAGCACTTTCCACTGAAACACAGAAGGCCATGAAGCCCCGGATGTCCCCCCAGGGGCTGGGCCAGGAGGTTAGACAGCCCCAGGTTAGGTGTGGTTGGTGGGGTGAGTCTGTTATACGGCACCTCAGCTGTTGCATTACGATTACTTTAAAGATGGTTTTTTATTTTACTCATAGAGGTCTTATGATATTGTTTTCTCGGGAATGGTGGTTAGCCGCCCAGAGTTACGTGCCTAAGACGGGCGGCCGTATACTGTCCTAAGTAGATAAATAAATAAACCCAGCCGTGGGGAGTCGGAGAGGACCGGTTGGAGATACAGACGCCGTGGCTTGAGAGACGGGGTCCGTGAGAACATCCCTTTCTCTCAGACAGAATGACCCTGAGGACAGTGACCGAAGTAACATCGCCATGGATGTGGATTGTGCTGGGAAGATCTCATCAGGAGAAGCAGAGAAAACCCCTCCTGAGGAGCTGGTAGGTAGAGAAATGGGAATGCTCATATCAAGGGTCGCTGCAGGTAGGATGCTGCTGCTGCTGGTGGTTCTATTTGCACTTGCAACGCCAGGGTCGGGCACACTTCGTGCAGCCAGGTTGCTCCAGAGGGCACAGCAGCAGCACGTTCCACTCCTTCAGTTGGCTTTTAGTTGCCTTCTGATTGCATTTTATCTGCCCTTTACTTTTAATTGTATTTTAAGTTGGGTTGTTTTAGATTCCAAATGACGGCCTTGCCGTCACCTAGTTTGTATGACGTTTTCACTTTGCATTTTACCTGATTTTACTGTGTATTTTTTTCTTCAAACTGTATTTTTCAAGGCGTTTTAGTGTACACCGCCCAGAGAGCTTTGGCTGCTGGGTGGTTTAAACATTTTAATAAATAAAAGTAAGTAAGTAAAATAAGTCAATTTAGAACTTTCAAAAAAGAGAATAAGTTGCATTTCACGGGCCTCCGTATTTGCAGAAAAAGAGAGGAGGAGAGAGAGGGAAAATTGCCTAGCTCTTCAACATGATGCCAGGTTTTAATGGCATGACCTGGAGGTGCACCGGAGGCTGTAAAAGAGGTGGGGAGCCACGGAGGCTCAGTTCTGTGCTACACGGGCATCGCTTCTGTTTCCTGCTAGGCATGCAAGCTGCCAGACGGGCAGAAGCTGGACCTGTCCACTTTTCTAGAACTGCAGGCGGCCTTTGAGGAGGAACTGAAGAGTCGGGAAATGCTGCGCCAAGAGCTCAGCATGGTCAAAGTGGCCAATCAGACTTTTGCCAGGTGAGCTGGAGGCAGGGGCTTCTGCGGGGTATGGTCAAAAAAGTCAAGATGGCTTTGATCGTGCTGGCACGGCTACCATCTTGACTTCTAAATCACACCCTGCAGACGCCCATCAGGGAGGGAGCTAGTAGAGACTTCATCCGGGTTAGATTACCCTGGGGATCATAGCCACCTTCTCCAGTTGGCAAGGGTGCTTAGGAGTCGACAAAAAAAGGGACCTTTCATTCCGGCCAGTTACTGTATTCTGTGTGGTCCAGAGCGAAGAACAGAGGAGAGTCTAGCAGATCTAGGAGGGTATTTTATGGAAGTCACCTGGAGCAATCAAGCAAAGTTGAATCAATGGAGGGAGGGAGAAGTCCCGCCCAGCAAAAAAGGCAAAAAAGCTGGAAAAGGGGGCACTTTAGATGCTGTCAATCAGAAAGTATCCAAAAGGCACCAGATTGGAGAAGGTTGCATAATAGCTTCTTGTTGAAGAAAGAAAGAAGTGATTTTTTTTGGAAAAGAAGGGGGTCCCTTACCTATTATTATTACAGGGAGTCCTTGTTTAGTGACTGCCTCGTTTACTGCCCATTCAAAGTTATGACGGCGCTGAAAAAGTAACTTTGCAACCGGTCCTCACACTTACAACCATTGCAATGTCCCTGCGGTCACGTGATCAAGGTTCAGGCACTTCACAACCAGCAGGTGTTTACAAACGTCATCCCACAATCATGCGATCTCCATCTGCGCGCCTCACAGCAAGCTTTTGACAAGCAGAGTCAATGGAGAACCTGGCAGTAAAATCGCAAATTGTGGTCATGTGATGCCTTGCTTAATGACCACGGCAGAAATGAGGTTACAAGTCTGGTGCAGTCATGTGATGTTTCATTTAATGACTACATCGCTTAGTGACGGAGTTGAGGGTTCCAATTGTGGTTGTTAAGTGAGGACTGCCTGTATTTAAAATGTATTATGGCTGCCCCCTCCAAAAGACTCCATCTTTCTGTTGACAACTGTTTTCTCCTCCCCACCCCCAGCCAGCTAAAGGATGCTGAGAGCCGAAACTTGGAACTGGAAGCTCAGATCAGAAGCTTGAAGGAGCAGATGGAAGGGCTGAAACCAGCGGCCGAGGAGGGCAAGTTCTGTCTCCCCCTGTAGACTCTGTTCCCCATCCTGGCCGTCTCTTTCCTTACTCGCTTACTTTGGGGCGCCCCAGAGTGTACCAAACCACTCAGATGTACTTTGGGGAGCCTGAGAGCAGGGAAACCCAAGGGACGGGGTTGAGGTACAGCCAAAAGAGGGTCGCAGGGGGAGGCTCTGGCATTCCCCAGGGGCCCCTTTTGCCCGTCATCTGAGCCCTGACGATTGCGAGGGTCCTCATACGTTTTGTTGGCAACTGTGGTTGGAGCGAGGCAGCTGCTGCTTTTGCACAGAACCCCCAAACTGCACCCAGAAATCCCTCCCCGCTGAAGGACCCATTGGCACAACATGAACTTGTGAAGTGGCCTCAGGGACCATCCAAGGTCCGGGATTTCTCACTTGCTCTCCCGGAGACAGAGAGAGCAGCGCAGAGTGGAAGGGCTGGCCCGAGCCTCCGATAAGTCCCAACCTCTTTCTGCCAGGGCCTTCTCATGGACCGTAGCCGAGAAGTCTTCCTCACTGGACTGTGAGGCTAGAGTTGCAGTGATGAGATTCACACAACACACCAGGCTAGGCTAAAAGGGGGTGGCATTCTCCAAGAACCCAGCCGTCAACCACTCAAGCTGTTCACTTGAGCGTAGCCTGCCAGGGAGACCCGAGCGAATGTCTTGGGTTAGCCCAGGTTTAGGGTTCAACTTGTGTGAACCCAGCTACCTGTATGTGCAGCAAGGTTAGCGATCATTGCATTTTCTGGATCGTTCATCATTCTTCCTTAGGCCTAACCCCACTTCTTTGGAGGAGGGGGGGATTCTTGGCAGGCGAACACACCTTTAGGGAGTCCAAACTACTATATATGAAATTCGGGACAGGAAAAGCAGCCGGGGGCTTCTACGTGAAGGGAATCCATGGCATGGAATGCATGTTGCCTAGAACTTTGCGAAGGCAGCAAGTTTCGCCCAATGCACCTGCTAGCATGCACAATACTTTCCAGCATGCGTGCCTGTCCCGCCCCCCCGCCTCGAAGCCCTGGGCCCCACAGTTTTCTTTTCCTTCCTGCTGCTTTCGGTGGAGCCCTCCTTGGCCCCCAGCCCCTCCCAGCCTTTCTTTTTGCCGCGTGGAACGGCCGGCTGATGTGAGACTCTGCGGGTCACCATAATGCCCAGCAGCAAAAAGCATGTCGCGGGTGGGGGTTTTGTCAGGCCGAAGCTGTGGGGAAGGAGGCCCATTGGGGCTTGCTTTGCTGGGATTGTGCCCCCCGCACACCTCTATTTTGGATGCCGACATCTTTGCTTCCTCCATCTGAATACTGTACGTGTCTCCTTTAAAGAGCCTTTCAGCCGTCAGCTATTTTAAGAACAGGTGGCAAACTGGAGAAATGGGAGCAAGAAAGCGATTGGGGGGGGCTTTCTTTTCAAGAGGACTAGGAACTTGTTTGCGAAGGATCTGTAGGTGCTGCAGGATTGTGATTGGAACCAAGGAACAGACGCCACGACACTGGTGTTTTCTCCCCTTTCCTGCCCTGGGGTTTGATGCTCTGGCCTGCTGACGTCGACCTCTGCTTTCTCTTTTCAGCAAGGCGGCACCATGGCATCACGGCTCTGTGAATACCCGCTTGTGGTACCTCTGTACCGGCACTTGCTGCTCTTTTCCAGGGTATGTTGGCTGCTCTCTTTGCGCGCACGCTTTCTTTCCTTGCGCTGAGCACACTCCCCCAGCGCATGCTTTTGGCTGGCAGCGAGCCTGTCCGCTTTCTACACCACCTTTCCTTCCTTCGTGTGCACCGAGCCCGGGGCGCCGCCAGAGCACTGAAGGCCACACAGGCCTACATCCTGAGCCTCAAGATGCTCCCATCTTGTCCTTGCGGGGCATGCCCCAGATCTGCCTCCTGCAGCACCCCTAAGGCACAGAAGGCATCTGCGGCTCTTCCGACGCTGGGGAGGGGATCGTTCTGTCTCTGCATGATTGACTGCTCTGCTGGGCTGCCTTCTCCCTCAATCCCAGTGGGAGAATCACCGCAGCTTGGTCTGCAGGCTTTAAAAACCGGGAGCTGAAGAACCAGGAATGGCAAGACAGCCAGCTCCTGGCGCTTGACTCCTGGCAGAGTTACACTCCGTGGTCTTGCTAGAGGGGGGAAAAGCCTGTCCGATCCATCATTCTCTCCCCCACCAGCTAACTGAATTTTCTGGTGAGCTCACAGACAGAAATGGGCAACTGTACCCTCACACCAACGATCCACAGCCACTGGCACTCAGAACCTTGTAACCGCTGACCCTGCAAGGGAAGCCGTTGCAGTTTGCGGTCATCCCGACATCTTGCAGTACGGCCTTCTACAGGCTAACCGTGAACTCTGCTTTCCTCGGTCCTGAATTTTCCACCAAAGAGTAAAATTTCTCCCTACCCTGTAGTTTTATAACCCTCTTCACCGTGTTCCTCTCCCCCCACTTTCTCCGCAAGCTAAAAGGTCTCCCAACATTTGCAAGCTTTTCTTTTTCAGGGGTGGGCCCGAGTGGATTGTCCGACGCGACTCTTCGAGATACTTTTGCCAGCTCGAGTAGCCTTTTTCAAGCGTCACGATGCCAGCTACTCCCGCTGGGCCAAGAGTATTTGCAATACAGGTCGCTTGCGTTGAAATACACATGCGCCTCCCCGTTCTCATTCAGATGAAAGTAGGCTTCAGCCGGTGGGAGGCTGGGGACGTAAGAGCTGCACCTCAGATCCTTCAGCTGGACTCAGCGTGGACAGGTCCTGGCGTTCTCTGCCTACAAAAGCAGGGGCGGGGGAGGTCTCTGCAACTCACATTTCTGTCCCCCTTTCTCCCTTTGGCCCCCCCTACCCCGCCATGAACTCCTTGGGGCCCAGCCTCTTGACCAGCCTGCATTTCCTTTGCAGGTACATAGGCCCTGCATTGTCAACGTGGGATACCTGCTTCTATGCACCGGTGGGTTAGGACTGGAGGTCTCCGCTCGGAGCTCAGCGGAAGCAGTTTGAACGCTGACGGGGCAAGGAGCAGTTGGGCACGTCAGCCGCTTGCCACTGTCCGATCAAGCCTAGCCTAAACCCCTTTAACAAAGGACTCGCTTGGACGAACTCGGGCCCAGAGGTGGCCAGGCCAGGCCAGGCCCCGGAGCTCCAGCTGCAAACAGCCTAGCTCAGCTTTGCCTCTGGTTCTCTCCCATCTGCTTCTTTCGCTTCTAGAGGGCAGGACTGTCAGCCCACCTCCTCTAAATAGACGTGCTCCAAGGAGAAAGTCCGGAGGGAAGAGGAGCTGAAGGCATAACCCAGGCATCCTGCCTTCTCGCATCCTGGCACCCTCCTAAAGAACACGCGCCCAGCTCTGACGGCACTTTCCCATGGAAACACATCGAGTTTCCCAAAGGCTGCTGGGGACTCCTGAGCTGCTACGACGTCTCCTCCTGCCAGGCTGCTGGAAGCTGTTCCTGTTGCTGCAAAGGATTTTGAGCTGGCAAAAGATTCTTCCAGGGACTTCTGCCCTTCCTGGCAATGGCCGCTTCTATGCCAGATGCCCCTTGGGAGATGAGGGTTAGAAAGGCCAGTGGCAGGAAAGGGGCACCCAGATCCAGACCCCCAGGAATGGCAACTTCCTGAAGAGAAGGAAGGTGACGAAGAGCCTGCCCCAGCGGGCTTGCGAAGCCTGACTCCTAAGGATCAGTCGAGCGGTTTGCTCTGCCAGCTGCAACTAGCACCTTTGTTGCACTTCGGGGCCAGGAGTTTGCTTGAAGGCCAGGGCCCTCCCTGGAAGGAAAAAAGGGACAGGCCTGTTTTTTTTTTTTGCAACGCCTTACAGTGCCCTTGGACTCTACCGGGGGGTGGCGGGGGGATGCTAGTTTTAAACTGCCAGACACACTTTTTATCTGCACTTCTCCACTTCTGATTCTAGATAGCAACCTGGCTCTCTAGCACTCCACAGTTCAACCCACCCATTTTTTGTAAGTTATTTCGAATAGTGAGGGTTAAGTGGCAACCCTTTCTGCCTCAAGCTGGGGATCCAGGCCTCCAACCCGTGTTTTGAAGAGTGTATGCATGATTATAAAAGTGCACAGAACCAAAATCTAGCTTGTAGGGGCAAACTGCTAGTGTAGGGTTTTTCACTAAGCCCCTCTTGGTGTCTCTCACCTACCCCCCATATTTATTATTCCTCCTCTTTGTGTAACATGGCGCATTGGCTGGGTGCATGAAAACACTGTACATTCTGACACTGTGAGTTGAGGATGTTCCCTTTTTTTGAGATGAGTAAGAATAAAGTCGGACTATTCCGCGGCCTTTGTGGGATGGCTGTTGTTTAGGATTTTGCAGCTGGAATCAAATGCAAAACAGGAGGGAGCAAATGTGCTCTGTGCGTGTGAGACACACACACACACACACACACACACACACACAGAAGCGCAATTAGCTGTGTTTCCACAAGCCACTCCAAGCCTTCAGAGCTGACCTGGAAAGGACTTTCACACTTTGCCTCTCAGTTTGATTTTTGCAACCCTGAGCTTCGTCAGCCCCAATTTTTCCCTGACCCCCTGCCAGCAATCAACATTTAGCAGGGGAGTCTGTACTGTGAAAACGGTCTCTTTAGTATAAATAGGCATTCACGATTCTATAATTTAAACGCTTTTTCAGACACAACAGTAACAAACGTTTAGAGCAGGTAGTAAAGTGACGAAGGCACAGGGGGAACATCGGCAGCTTCTGGACGTGTTCTTCTGCGGAGTCGGGCAAAGGGACCAAGGGGGAGAACTTGGCTGCCAGACACCAGCTGGCTTGCACGGGCCACGAGGGGCCAGACATGCACTGGGGGCGGGTTCAGGGAAAGAGGAATGAAAAGCAAATTAATACTGTTTTCTGAGGCCCGTCCACCTCGCTGCAAAGGATCCAAGCAGAACTGATGGAAAACCAGACTCTCCCTTCCTCCCCCAGTTGCTTTTGCCAGACAGAGACGAAGCAGGTGTCCATGGTTGTGGACCAGTATGGCTTTTTCTTCCTTGGGAAAGGAGCCACTCCCGTGGTGTTAAGTTCTCCATCTGCCCTGGGGTGCGGGGCTGGAGGTCTTTCGTTGGCTGGGTCCAATTTTGCAACCGGCAGAGCTAAAGACACGCTCAGTAAACCAGATGGTGCAGAGAGAGATCCCTTGTCAGTGTGGAATTGTTTCAGTTTTCACACAGTCAATGGTACAAACCCCGGTCAAAATCCGACGAATGAATGCAGGTTTACGGGTTTAGTGTGAGATGAGCCAAACCCCCTGGATCAGAAGCGAAACTGCAAGCAACGAATATTCCCCCAAGCGGGTGTACAGAGCAGCTGTGATGGAACTGCAGCTAACCCACGACCATTTCTGGAATCCCAAGGAAACGCATCTCTAGGACCAGCTGGCTTTGAGGAACCAGTCCTAGCAGGCAGCTCTTCCTACAGCTCCTCAAAATGCTCGTTTCTAATCCAAACAGCTGCCCCGGCTACCAGTGCAATCAGATGGGACGCATTTGAATGTGTAGGCACAGCCCTGGCCGCACATAACCTACTAACATGATGGAGTACAAAATTTGTAGAGAGACAGAGCCTCTTCCTACGACAAGGAGCCTTATGGGACCCTCCAACTGATGCCCGACAGAAGAAAATGATGCAGTGGGGCATCTGTAGAAATGCTACTTCATTTATACCTCAGTTCTTCCCCCTAAAGAATTCACAGGACCACAGGCCGAGAGGGCCTCCGAGCCTCACAGGCAGTCTGATGAGCCCCACCACTGGCGGGCTGGATCCTTTCCACGTTCCTGGCTATGCACTAAGACGGCTTCCGCTGCTTGCATCCTGCGTTGCCAAGCAGCTCCTTCCCCGCCCCCCAGGCAGTTCTATATGGAAGCAGAAAGAAAGCAACCCCCCTATGAACCACCTGCAGCAGGATTAAAAACTCTCTCATGTGCCCCTCAATGTCAGCCAGGCTCTTATTTTTCAACCGGCCCCATCCAGTGGGAAGCCCAACTGGTCAAAAGTCTGCACTGCTGCAATCAACTAGAGATTCAAAGTCAACCAAAACGAAGACGTGCATTTTAAAGAGAGCACGCTTGCAGGAAACAATGTATATATTATTGATATTTACCATCACCCATATTCCTTTTTAATACTATTCTAGCAAATAAGGGTGTGGATGTGTGTGTGGATGTATAAATAAAAAGACGCTAAGACTATCCTTGTCAACAGGCCCAAAGCATAGCTGGGATATTTTCAAGGCTCCGTACCAAATTTAAAATGCTTTTAAAAATGTTTTGGTTGGCTCTGAATCCGTTTTTGGAGCAGCTGTTTTTCTAAACGTCGTGCAATTTCTGAAACCTCAGTCTTCAACTCACTCTCCTTATGCAAACCAAATCCTGAATCAGACTGAAGCCAAGCTACCTAAGACGTACGCATAGAGATACCAAGAAACTGCATTCAGTCTCTACTCCAATGCTTCTCAACCTCAGCGACTTTTAAGATGCTTGGAGTCCAACTCCCAGAATGCATGCTGGTTGGGGAGTTCTGGAGTTGAAATCCACACATCTTACAGTTGCTGAGGTTGATAAACGCTGCTCTACTGTACTGACTTAAATAACCAACCCAAGAACATGATCACGTATCCTTGGTCCACTGCAAGACCAAAGTTCATGAAAGATCAAGCCTACTTGAACTAGCCTGGCACATCAAGATGGAGGACCAGAAGCCAGGATTTGCCATGAGCAATCCTGAATATTTACTTTTGGTGACCAAGAACCATCGGCAACTTACTCAGGAGGAAAATCTCTGAGCCTAAGCTAGGCAACTGAAATGACTGACCAGACAAGAGTCAGATGCTGCAACTACACAGTCTCGAACTTAGCAACTTTAAGATGGGTGGACTTCAATTCCCAGAATTCCCCCAATCCAAGTCCCAGAATGCATGGCTGGCTGGGGAATTCTGGGAGTTGAAGTCCACCATCTTAAAGTTGCTGAGGTCGAGAAACACTGGTCTAGACTCAGACTGGTGGTTGTTTAAAATTTGTAGAACGCATCTAGGCAAATCAACAGTGGATGTGCTGGGATCTCCAGTGCATAAACACAGACATTTGTTGACCCGGAGGACAGGCAACAAAAAGAAGTGACAGAGAAAAACAATCAAATTTGGGCAGAAATAGCTGACTCAACAATGAGATCCAGTTCAGAGGGAGTGGTTGGGGAAAAGAGCTGGTCAGTGGAGAAACTGCTCCCAGCAAACGGACGTCAAGGAGAAGGACCAGGTAGCAGCAAACTGTTGTCAAGTACAAGGACCAGCCGATGGAAAGAAAAATCCATTTTGCTTTGAGAGAACCTCTGAGAAGCCTTTCAAGATGAAGCTGAGTAGATGCGGGAAACAAAAGCAGAGGTCCACAACACGACAAAAGACGTCAAAAAACAATGGCAGGAACTCCCTGGCAGTATCGTGCTGGATCTCAAACATTAAGCAGTGTCTGTAGGAGTCAGTTGGCTGCCCTGGAAGGAGGACGTGGGAAGGACTGTCTGCTGTTAGGTCAGAAAGAACTGCCTGCTGGATAGAGGTATCACTGCTACCTCAGGTCACCAGAAATACTGGAACTTCCTGTGCAAAATGGAACTAAAATGGTTGTTTGTTAAAAGAAAGGGGGGTGGGGGGAAGACAAGGACTCTTACACATTGCAGAGGGTTATTGTTATCTCCCCGTACAAAAGGGATTCCTTCTGATTTTTCTCCCCCAAGCAGCCGGGCAGATGGAGATCAGGACAGATTTGGCTGAGTCAGGGCAACACAGCTGAAAGGTGGCCAGAATCCCTGTCTGGGCGAAGGGGGGGTGAGGGAGGGGGCAGCTCAGTTCACCCTTGTGCAAAATCTGCCCCTCTAGCAACCTGTGCTAAAATATTAGCTTTAAATATAGTTTGTTAATTAATACTTTTAAATAGCTGAGAGGTGCATACAGTCCTGCACTACGTTGGTCTTGAGAGGTTAACGGTTAGGATTCGTATTTCCATACAGTCAGGTTTCACAGGCAAGGGAGGGAAGAAACAACCTGTACACGTGTTGAAAAAGTCGGAAAACTTTCCCATCTTGGCCCAGTTTACTCAGTTGAGCAAGGAACCAGAAACACCTGCTAGGAGATCAGCTGAGCGTGGGTTAGTGCCGATCACACTATTGTGCCGCTTGGAGAACCACCGTTCTGGGAGTTCAGGGTCTGAAAAATCAAAGTTAAGGAAAAGTTTAAATACCACCATGGCTGGTTAGTCCTGTGGAGTGAATCAACCTTAACCCTAGATCCTTATTGCCAAACCGTACATGCTGTATTCACATAAGCCATGACACCCACACAAGCCAGCCATATTATGGCTAAAGGTGATGGCCTGCTTCACACAATATGCTAAGGCAAAGGCTGGGTTCCTCCAGGGGATGGAATCTCAAATTACCAAGCCCCACCTCAGCCTACCCGAGAGCCCTGGGTGAGCCCAGCTCTACGTCTCCGCAGTGGCGCGCTCTGAAGGAAGCTGCAGCCTTCCCGCAGGAGAGGGGGGGATCCACTTACTGCCTTCCCTGGCCTGGCCCAGGTGCAAATGAGCCCTTCCTGGCAGGCAGTGATGATACAGTCTTCCAGGAAAAGTAACACGGTCAGCCTCTCGTGGGCGATCTTCTTGCACACCAGCGGCTCCAGCAGGGGGACCTCATTGATGCGGGGGCACAGGGCCGTGCCCAAGACCTTGGCGGTGTCCAGCTTGCTTCTGGGCACCATGTTGAGTTTGTCGCTGCTCTTGCTGATGTTGCCCAAGCTGTGGTAGCGCTTGTGCTCCTTCTCGGTGTTTTTGTCCCTCCGCTCCTGCAAGGTGAGGGTGGCAAATTTGCCGATGCTGAAGGGCACCGCCCCGTCCCCCACGTGGCTTTTGGTGGCGCTGGTGACGGCCGGGTGCGGCAAGCTGTTGGAGCGCGACAGGGAGCGCGGAAGAGCCCCTCCGCCTGGCTCAGCAGCCAGGTTGCTCCCCCCGCTCCCCGAGGGAGGAATGCCAGCGCTGAAGGTGTTGGTGAGTGTTCGGGCCCGGGACAGCGGGTGGTGGGGGTACAAGACATCTTCTGTGAGGTCCCAAAGGCAGAACTGGGTGTCCTGCCCTGCAGAACCAAAACGGTAGGTCACTGAGGGAGTGCTTTTGGCGCTGTGCTTGGACAGGTGGGACAGGGTGCTGCTGGTTCGCACCCGCCTGAAATCAGAAGAGCCCTGGATGTCCTCATCGCTCCCACTGAGCTCCCCGCTCTCTTCATCCTCCGTGCTGGTGGTGTAGGGATCAAAAGCCACTGCATTGACCCACGACTTGTGGCCGTGGCCCCGGGCAATGACCCGGCCCTCTGCAAAGGACCAAACCGTTACCAGGTCATCTTCACCACCTGTCACGATATAGCGTCCATCAGGGCTCCAACAGACACATAGCAGGCCCCCAAAGTAGCTCTTCATCATTCCCTGCAGGAGCATGGAGTCAAAATGAAAGACGCGCAGGCAACCGTCTTGGCTGACGCACGCTAGGTAGCGGCCGTCGGGCGAGAAGGCAAATTCATTCAGTGCCCCTTCGCCAACTGCCCACTTCAGGAGTGGATTACGGGCACTCTTGCTCTTGCAGGCATAGACCGTGAAGCCCTCGCCTTGCTTGAGGAGGGTGTACTGAGGTGAGGCCGAGCCACAGGGCTGCTCCACATTGTACAGGTACAAATGACCACTCGCGTGGGAGGCCAAGAAGAGACTCTCCGTCTCGGGGATCCACTTCACAAAGGTGACCTTTGACTTGTCAATTAGCCTCTAAGGAAATATTGGGGGGGGGCAAAGAGCAGGAAGCAAGCATGAGAAGAACCCTCAGGGTTCCAAGGTGCCACCAATATCCCTTGTGCAGACAGATTCCGAGCAGCCCTGAGAAAACCCAGCCCGCTCTACATTTCTGAAAGTCACCCTGATTGCTAGATGGAGATCATCTAGAATTTCTACTTCGTGTGGGGAGAGCACATAAAACTAAGCCAGAATCAATGAGGTGTTGGACTGACTGGCAAGGTACAAATGTCTATTTACTGGTTCAGTATTACGCTTGCTTGATGCTTCCCTGGAAACCATTAAGTGCAGAAGAATACAATCCCATCTCAGCACCAAACCGTTCAGGAGTTTTTTTTCCCCCAATCTACATTGCAAATTTGAGAGTTAATTGCTTCTTCTCCAGGGCACGGCTCTATGACAATGGATTTGCTAAAACTTTGAGTCATCTTTCTGTCAAGGTTCCAAAGCCACAAGCTGAAGCCTACGGTCTAAGAACTACTGCAATGAAGCTACAATTTGATTAATATGCTGATCAAAGTTGGTAATAAGAAATAAGGGAAGTCATTAAGAACGGATTGGAATCGGAGACTTTGGGGAGTGTTCTCCAGATGTTCTGCTCTAGAACTCTCATAAATCCCAGTCGGCACCGGCAATGGCCAGAGATGTGGGAAACAACAGTATCGGATATCAAGAAACCATCTGAGCCCCGCTGAGCTGAAAGAGCAGTGCAATAATCCTTAAATAATACTTCCCTTGACTTACCTCCTCATTAAATAGCTTACTGGTATCTTTCTTGATAAGATCCAAGTATTGCACTTGCCCGGCCGAGAAGCCAACCAACAGAGAGATACTTTCTGAAGCAGCTGTGAACTGGTTGAAGTCATGGCAAGTGGGCTGCGTCCCCTTATAGATCCGCTTGTCAATGGGTTTCTTCAGGTCGATGGACTGGGAATACCACAAAAGAAAACAAATACACATAAAAAAAATTTAAAAAAGCAAGCAAGAGGCAAGGATTTCAAACACAGGAATCTAAAGCTGGACATGCAGCCTCACGCCAAAACTGCAGGTTGCTTCCTCTGGCTAGTCATAACCCCTTTTATAACTGCTGTGAATAATTCAGGCTTGCACGTTAAGAAAGGCTAGTTTCAGCTGGGCGTACGAAACGTTACTAGCCAAAATACTGACCCCCGACGTTTCATTTTCTGCGAAGCTTTCCTGCCTGGCTACCCAAAGCCTGGGGGGGGCCACATCCCGCCAGCCACACTCGGCAATTCTGCTTTGGCTCTTCTGTGGCAAGCCACCCTGCACATCATCCAGACGGGCCCCTCCC